GGCCGCGGCCCGCGGGGTGCCGGGCTGCCCGGACGATGAGGTGATGAAGATCCGGGTGTCCCATGAGGAGGAGGAGGAGGAGGAGGACAAGCACCCGGCCGGGATCTGCAGTGGGTCCCTGGACAAGTCCATGAAAATCGTGCTGAAGGATGACGAGGAGGTCGGGCTCGGCGTCTCCAAGGGCCCGGCCTCCGCTGAGCCGGATGGCCCCTTCCCCAGCCCTCGAGACCACCCCAAAATCTACTACATCAAGCAGGAGCGCTTCGACCCGGAGGAGGCTGCAGTGGCGGCGCTGGGCGGCGGGGCCGGGGCCGTGGGCGAAGCCTGCTTCCTCAAGTCGCTGGCGCAGGGCCGGGCGCTGGGCATAGCCGAGGTGCATGGCCTCTACCAGGCCAGTCTGCCGCCAGGCAGCAGCAGCGAGGTCAGCTACATTATCCCGGCGGCAGGCAGCACTGCCACCACCGCTATCGCCTCCTCCTCCTCCTCGCTGGCTGCCCCCGGCTTCACCATCAAGGCCCAGCCCCTGCCCTCGGACGAAGTCGGCTTCCCCCAAAGCTCCTGGAAGCCGGTGGACCTGCACGGCAACGAGATCATCGCGCACACGGTGCACGGGCAGGTGGTGCACGCGCCGGTCAAGATCGTGGCGGCGCCTGACGGGAAGAAGTTCGGCTGCCTGTGTGGGAAGCGCTTCGCCGTGAAGCCCAAGCGGGACCGGCACATCATGCTGACCTTCAGCCTGCGCCCCTTTGGCTGCTCCGTCTGCAACAAGAAGTTCAAGCTCAAGCACCACCTCACCGAGCACATGAAGACGCACGACGGGAACCTGTACTCCTGCGAGGACTGCGGGCGCAAGTTCCGTGTCCAGAACTGCTTCCTCAAGCACAAGGAGCTCTGCAAGGGGCAGGGCTGGGCCACTGCCTGCTGGACCTACAAGTAGACTGGGGCGGGCGGGGACAGCCCCGCGCCACAGCCCGCCAGGCCGGGCCCTGCCTGACCGCTCTGCCCCCCATGCCTTTGGGCTCCCGCCCCCGTGGCTGGCGCCCTGGTGCTGGGCTGTGCTGGGGCACGTGGGAGCCAGCGATTTGGGCCCTGCGGCTTCAGCGCTGCGA